AAGAGTGGTAGGAGGAGAAGAGTGGTAGAGAGAGAAAGAGTGTGGGGTGGGAGGAGAGTGGTAGGTAGGGAGAGGGAGGTGAGGGAAGGTAGGGAGGAGGAAGAGGGTAGGCAGGTAGAGGAAGAGCTGGAGAGGAGGAAGAGTGGTAGGTAGGGAGAGAGGAAGATGGTAGAGGGAGGAGGAGTGGTAGGAGGGAGGGAAGAGTGGTAGGAGGGAGGAAGAGTGGTAGGTAGAGAGGGAGGAAGAGGGGAGAGAGAGGAAGAGTGTAGGGAGGGAAGAGGGTAGGTAGAGAGGAGGAGAGAGTAAGGAGGGTAGGGGAGGAGAAGAGAGGGAGAAGAGGGTAGGGAGGAGGAAGAGGGGAGGGGGTAGGAGGAAGGGGAGGAGGTAGGTAGGGAGGAGGAAGAGGGTAGGTAGAGAGGGAGGAAGGTGGTAGGGGAGGAGGAAGAGTGGTAGGTAGAGAGGGAGGAGAGAAGGGTAGGGAAGGAGAGAAAGATGGTAGAGGGAGTGGGTAGGAGGAGGGTAAGATGGCAGGAGGAGAGAGGGAGGAAGAGGGTAGGTAAGAGGAGGTAAGAGGGTAGGAGGAGGGAGGGAAGAGTGGGAGATGAAGAGTGGGTAGGTAGAGAGAGGAAGAGGAGGGTAGGAGGAGGAAGAGGCAGGAAGGAGTGGGTAGTAAGGAAGAAGGGCAGGTAGGAGGGAGGAAGAGGTAGGTAGGAGGAGGAAGAGAGGAGAGAGGAGTAAGGTAGGAGGAGGAAGAGTGGAAGGTATGGGGAGAAGAGGAAGGCAGAGGGAGGAAGAGGGGGGAGGGGAGAAGGGAGGTAGAGGAAGAGTGGGTAGGCAGGTAGGAGGGAGGAAGAGGCAGGAAGGAGGAGGAAGAGGAGGTAGGGAGAGAGAAAAGAGGTTAGCAGGGAAGGATAAAGGAGTGTAGAGAAGTAGGAAAACAAAGGCAGGAGGAAGATGGTATAGGAGGAAGAGGGTAGGCAGAGGGAGGGAGAGCAGGGGAGGGGGAGGAAGAGCGGTGGGTCAGGTAGGTAGGTGTGGTAGGCAAGCAGGGGGGCAAGGACAGGGAGGGGAGGGAGAGTAGATAGGAGAGTAGGGGAGAGGGGAGGGAGGGAGAGGGAGGGAGGGAGTGAGATGAAGGAAGGAAAGGGAGGAGGGGAGAGGAGGGATTGGAAGGAGAAGGGTAGGGAGGGGAGGGGAGTGAGGGAAAGGAGGGAGGGAATGAGGTTAGGGGAGGGGAGGGAGAGGGAAAGGGAGGAGGGGAGGAGTTAGGGGAGGGGAGGGAGGTAGAGGGGGTGGGAAGGTTGAGGAAGGAGAGGAGGGAGGAGGGAGAGAGGACAAGGGTGGTTTATCCAGGCAGGTGTCAGGTATCACCAAGTATAAGTGTATCGTGCTTTGTATACAGGTGGCTGACAGGACGAGTAGAACACACACACACACACACATACACATACACACACAGTCAGTTTGTGCTTGATGTTTGTAAACGCACGGGCGGACGGACGTACGTATGTGTGTGTGTGTGTGTGTGTTGTCTGATTCTGTTGGCGTGTTGGGAGAACATAATCACAGAGACGCGTACGCTACACTCTGGACACTTTGAGCCACATACTCCTGTCCCATCAAGCGAGCGTCCAATAATATTAATTTATTGCCCACTTTTATCACTCCCAATCAAATGAGGATGTGTTTCCCGTGAGAACTTGAGTCTGTCCCGTGAACCATTGACATCACTATTCCTTGTACACAGTGTCAAGGGGATCAAACTGGTTTATAAATCACACACGTTTTAAAACTTGATCAAGTGTCGTGTTACATGATTTTTTTTTCTTTATACCGTAACGCACAGATGGATCAAACCTGGTTATTTTTATCAGAGGTTTTGAAGTGCTATGCCAGTTTTTTGTCTTATCTATTTTACGGTGAAAAACAAAGAAGTGTTTGTTGATATAAATACGTGAAAATATTGTCTAAAAATTATAGGTGTGAATTTGATATAAACACACACACATACACACGCGCACGTCTTTATCCACTGTTTGCCTACTGCAGAATGACCGGAATCAGTACCAAGAAGCACAGACAACACACTTCCCTCATTCTTACTGCTTGCTATAAGAGATGTGTTCTGTTATGCTATCCCTTCCCACACAAAGGCCATGGTTTATTACGGTCGTTCCTCTTACTGTAGTGCAGGGTGTTACATATAAGTGCAACCATAGTATAGGGAGTAATTAAGACTGGAACGGTTAATGATATATCTATTCATATTATCTTTTCGGCATTGTTATTTTGCGATTGGTAATCTTTCTACCCAATTACGGTGAACTCTGCTCAAGATAGTCTCTGTAATTTGAGAATAAGCTTTATTAAAGTCTGCGGGTGTCCGCCTGGCAAACGCGAACCACACGTTCTGTACTGCGAGACAAGCAGCTGTGAATTTTAATGACGTCTATCCTTATATCACAAAGAATATCTTGGGCAGAGTTCACCGTAATTGTGCAGTAAGATTACCAACTGCATAGTAACAATGTCGAAAAGATAATATAAATAGGAATATCAATAACCGTTTCAGTTTATATTACTCCCTATGGCTCTACTTATAGTACAGTATATCATGTTACACCTCTTCAGGGATGATTCGCGTATTAAAGTCTTCCTACCATAGGAAGTCACTAATGGCACCACCGATAATTTAGACGTAATTCTGGTACGATAATTATATTTAACTCCTCTAAAATAATGCTGGACATCGTGGTCTACTACTGGGTTATCTCCTGTGGGATGTAATAGATTAAATCATATTAGTTGTAATGAAAAGCCAAACACGAACACAGCATCACATCAAGTGAGTGTTACTGAAGATTAAAGAACATATTTATTTTGCCAATTTAAGATACGAAACAAAGATGGAGGCCACTTTTGATAAACCCACTGCCGGAATAATAATATAAACTCTCTTGTTTGTATCCGCCACCTGGCAGTGAGCCTACGAACTGTTGAATGAATCAATAAATGTCAACATCATTCCACATGAAGAGAATAACAAAACCTGTCCTTCTATCACCAGGGTTAACGCACGATGATCTGTACCCTGCTGTTGTTGCACCTGCCTCCTGTCGGTACACTCTTGTTGTGGTACTGGGAACCACCAGATTTTTTTTATCACTACTGTGATCTTGTGAACTACTCGTGTTACCTCTCTCGCTGTCACAATTATTACCAATATAGTTCCAAGGTAATTATACTATTGTTTCCTTGACTTGGGCAAGGAATTAGCTATTCCTTGATCGAGAGAGAGAGAGAGAGAGAGAGAGCATTACTCCGTAAATCTCTGGGATATAGAATTGTAATTACAACGCGCGGGTCGATCGGTTCCTTATCTTGCCAGTATCAATAGAATAATTTTCTTGTATTTCTGAACGGAAGCAGATTAATCCGAGAAAAAAAAAAAAAAAAAGAGAGAGAGAGATTTAAAGTCGTTTACAACATAAGAACATAAGAAAATAAGGAGTCTGCAATAGGCCGGTTGGCCTGTGCATGGCAGCTCCTATCCAGAGTTACTACCACTCTCTATCATCCATGAATCTATCTAGCCTCTTTTTAAAACTTTCCAGCGTTCCAGCACTTACTACAAAGTTGCTAAGCTTGTTCCACTCGTCCGCCACCCTATTTGTCAACCAGTTCCTTCCTGTCTCCCCCAAACCTAAACTTATCCAACTTAAATCCGTTGCTCCTCGATTTATAACACTAAATATAGAGGGAAAAGAAGAGATAACGAATTTTAATACTTTATCTTAGAGCACATTTGACTAACACTCACTGTATAAGAAAGTGGAATTACCTGAAAATTAGGCACCCCAGCTTATTTTACCTGATAATTAAAAACCTAACACTGATTGGGTAGTTAAGTTTGGTTGTTAGGTTAAGTTTGGTTTGGTTTGGTTTGCTTAGGTTAGGTTATGCTAGTTAAATATAGGCTGTTAGACAAGGTTAGGTTAATTTAGGTTAGGGTAAGCTAGGTAAGGCTTGGTTAAGTTAGGTAAGATTAGACACTGCACTTTGTTTCAACAGGAATTTCTGGTTGTGATAAAACAGCTGGCAGGATACCGGGTGACAGCACCAGTGTACAACATGTATCAGACGACGGGATACTCAGGGGCGGATCCAGGAATATCAAAAGGGGTGTCCAAGAAGGTGTGGATGGGGTAACTTGGCTAGCATAGCGAGCCCACCCAGCTGAGGGTTTTGGAGGGTGTTTAATCCCCAACTTTTTTAACCTTCTCAATATCGTGGGCCATTTTGAAGCCATGGGCACTGAATATTAGGAGACATTCTGATGTCAATAGTAATTACTTTTTACTAAACAAAAATGACCGAGTAATATACTAGATTAAAGTAAAAGTATTGAAGTATTGGAATTTTTGATGAAAAAGGAGGTCGGACCCCCAGGACCCCCTGGATCCGCCCTTTATACTGTGTCCTCTCACATCACAGCCTTGGATTTGTTTGCTTAATCCTCCTGATCCATCCTTTCTTGACCTGACTAACAAAGGCTTTTCGCGCGCGTTTTTTTTTGCACGTGACTTAAAACACAACTACTGACATTCTTTTAAATTATCCGTGTTGCATAACTGTTTTATTACACCATATGCTTTTATTGCTGTTATTTATGAATGTGATACACTTTTCCAAAGTACGACGGCAAAATAGACTAAATCAATATTTGACACTCCACTGAAGAGTCGACATTTTGGCCTTCAAATTCGGGATAATATAACGTGGGTGGTGAACGTTATGGCAGCAAGGGAGGACACTAGTCTCACCCTTGACGTCAGCCACACAGGGGTCACATTACCTCGTCAAGCACACACGTGTCACACTCGTCCCCAAGTCTTGTAAAAAACCAGTTAAGATTCTTCTATTTATTGAGAAATCACCAAATTCTGTATAAATTACGATTTGATTAACGAGTTATAATTTAGAGCATATACAGGTAACAAACTCCTCATGGCCTACATTGCAAGAAGACCTTTATGAATTAAAGTGTCATGGGAAAATGTAATAATATTGGCGGGCGGTAACTGAGCACAGGTGTGTGAGGAACACCTGTGGCGGGTGGGAGGTGATCAGCTGGTCGCAGGGCTGCCAATCCCCACCTTTCCCCAGAAGTGTAGCCCAGGTCTGCCATCCATTCCCAGGACACTTCATCGGATAAAGAACACCTAATTACTGAGTTTGTTGCAGGAAGTACCATATTGATGACTATTTTTTTTAACTATATTTCTATTTTTACATTTCTGATCGTTACATAATATAACCTTGATGTGTTATATTACTAGATTTCGCTGAGGTTATGTATCTGTAGATAAACCATATAGACTCACGCACTACATACATACCCACATGTTACACTATATAAGGATGATTGACTGAGACCAATAACCTTCTATGTTTTTTTGGAAACTTCTGACTGGCCATAGATGATCACGTAGATAATCATAATATATACCTGGTGGACAGTGGGAGTAGTGTTAGTACAGGGGAGGACTATTACACACACACACATACACGTCTCTCCCTCTAACTACCACCCTGTCGAGTGACGAGACCGGGTAATTAACTGGCATATGAACAAACAGATGATTAAATAAATGTTTATGTGAGTATGAATAAGTGTCAACAGCCAACAGTATCGTGATCGGTTCCCCCTGACACAACTTACTGGAGACGGTATCTGGGCTTGGTTGGGTTAGGTTAGGTTAGGTTAAGTGTTGGATTGGATTGAATTGAGTTCGGATTGGTTTAAGTTTAACTGGGATAACTTAGGCAGGTTTGTGTTAAGTTAGGTTAAATTTGATTGGTTTAAATTAGGTTAGGTTTCATTTGGATTATTTCCTATAGTTATCTTACACATAACCGGAAATTCATTAAAAACTAAATAAAGTCTTATGTCACGATGGCAGATTCCCGAAGGTTACAAAGATAAATTTTTCTCCTAACTATAATCACAAAACACACATTCGGACACTTACCTCAGCGTCTCTAGTTTGGAAGGGAAGCGATCTCTGCCGCTGGAACATAGAAAATAATATTAGTTAGACTGGTAGACTCTCTCCCTATCGGCGACTGTTCTACTATGAATATTAATGTACTGCATCGGGTGTTTACAAGGTCCCTTGATGTTTGTGTTTACAGAGTCCCTTGATGTTGCTTGTGTTTACAAGAGTCCTTGACGCTATTTGTGTTTACAGGAGTCCTTGATGTTGCTTGTGTTTGGGGAGTCCTTGACGCTATTTGTGTTTACAGAGTCATGATGTTGCTTGCTTGTGTTTACAAGGTCCCTTGACCTTATTTGTGTTTCTAGAGGTCCTTGATGTTGTTTGTGTTTACAGGGGTCCCTTGATGTTGCTTGTGTTTACAAGAGTCCCTTGATGCTATTTGTGTTTAGAGTCCCTTGATGTTGTTTGTGTTTTACAGAGTCCTTGATGTTGTTTGTGTTTACAGAGTCCCTTGATGTTGTTTGTGTTTACAGAGTCCCTTTGATGTTGTTTTGTGTTTACAGAGTCCCTTGATGTTGTTTGTGTTTACAGAGTCCCTTGATGTTGTTTGTGTTTAGAGTCCCTTGATGTTGTTTGTGTTTACAGAGTCCTTGATGTTGCTTGTGTTTACAAGGGGTCCCTTGATGTTGCTTGTGTTTACAGAGTCCTTGACGCTATTTGTGATTACAGAGTCCCTTGATGTTGCTTGTGTTTACAGAGTCCATGATGTTGTTTGTGTTTACAGAGTCCTTGATGTTGCTTGTGTTTACAGAGTCCTTGATGTTGCTTGTGTTTACAGAGTCCTTGATGCTATTTGTGATTACGAGTCCCTTGAAAAAGTTGTATCTCTAAAACATTGATATATACTCTCCATCACTTTCTACACTAAAGTCAAGGAAAAAAGTCCTGTCAGTCCTCCCATCTGAGACTCATGAACCTGTGAATCCGAGACATCATAGATTGTTAGGCCCATAGATGGTGTATTGGGTCGCGTGTCTCGGATTCACAGGTTCATGAGTCTCCAGGGTTCATGGATAGGAGAGAGGACTGACAGGACTCTTTTCAGTGACTGAACGCTGTGACCTAGACTAATGCTAGACTGTATAAAACTGTTAACACGGTGCTAGACTCAAGAAAGACTGTATAGGCTGTATTACTGATCTGGACTTTACTAGACTTAGGAAGACTGTACTAAACCCAAGCTAAACTATAGACTTAAAAATAGACTCTATACTTAAAACTGTACTAGAGTGTCAAGTACCTGAGACTGTCCATCTTATTACACTTCTTGCCCAGGGGCTTAGAGAAGGGTAGTCTCTCCCTCAGTAGATCGAAGGCGTTGTTCATGTCTCGCATCCGGGTCCTCTCCCTGTCACACGCCGACCTCTTGTATTCTGTCACGACACACACAGACAAACACACGTAAATTAAATGATGTTTTAAGGCTCTTTATTAAGAAAAAAAAATAGGGGAATATTAAAGTTTTTCTTCGGGAATATACTCTTTTTTTTATAGTCCTATGATATTTTTTTTGGTGGACTTTAAACGGTTTTAAGATCTATAAAAGTTTCTGGTGATTAGAAATGTTTTTGGAGTTCCCATAAATGTTGTGAGGGGAGTATTAACGGTTTAATTGCACTATGAATGTCTTAAGAGGACTATAAACGATTTAAGGGGACTGTGAACGTTTTAAGGGGACTGAACGTTTTAAAGAGAATATGAACATTTTTGGGAAGAATTACGAACTTTTTTTTTTTGGGGGGGGGTTATGAACATTTATATAAGTCCCATGAACGTGTGTATAGGAGACGTTCATAGCGTATGTGTCTATGTATGACTTAACCTCGAGTGCAATCCGGTTCTGAAACTCCCTATTACACCCTGACTTGCTTTAAGGCTCTGAACGTTTATACATAGCATGTTGTAAAAACAAATTTAAGGACTTTGAACGTTTTTTAGGGGACCTTGAACGTTTTTAAGGAGCTCCATGAAATCTTTAGGGGATAGTGAAGTTGCTAGCGTGCCTTGAACGTTCTTTTTAATCATATGAACATTTTTAAGGATTTATAATGTGTTTTATGGGAACAATTGCAGTTTTTCTTAAGACCAGTGAAAGCTTTTATGAGACATTAGAATGTTTGCAAGTATTTACATGTGTTTTTGAGGGATACTGAACGCTTATTTTCTTTAGATAGTGAACCTAGAACCTAACCTAACCTAACTTAACCCACCCATGAACCACAACTGTAAAGCCTGCGGTCGCTGGATCTGTTCCTCCAAGCAATCTAAGCAAACGATATGTCAGAAGCGGTCACACAAAATCAAACTTAATAAACGATCAACTTAAAGAAAACAATAATAATAATAATAACAATAAAAATATCTCCCACCTTAATTAATGTATAATATAAAAGCAAAAGAAGCAAAGAGGAGGAAAATACATTAGAGTCTATACAGTTTTTAAAAAAAAAAAAAAATATATATATATATATATATATATATATATATATATATATATATATATATATATATATATATATATATATATATATATATATATATATCACTCACAGGAAAATAAATATGTGTTGTATGGTTAACTGTCACACCTGTAGACACCTCACGCCATTGTTCCTTCCCTCGGTAGATATTAACTCGAGGCCGGAGAAAGGGAGAGAGTCAGGAACTAAAGAAAATGAAGAAGAAGGAGTTAAAGAGAGAGAGAGAGAGAGAGAGAGAGAGAGAGAGAGAGAGTGAAGGTGAGTTAGCTTAGACAAAGAGACCTACTCACCTTCGCCGCCCCTCCCCCTCCTGTGGTTCTCCCCTTTATCTGAGAAGGTAAGAAGGTAGCAAGTGTTCACCCATCTCTAGACAGACAACGTAAATACTTCAAAAATTGCATTCGTTTACGCAGGTATAAGGCGGAAGTGATGTCTCAGATCCACAGACACATGTCTATGGATGTGATGTCACAGCCTGAATGAAATATGAAACATGGCGACTTGCATACGGATATGATGTCACGACCCGAGGGAAAATTAAAGAAGAAAATGCCGATTGCTTACAGATGTGACGTCATGGTTTGTGGGAAACATGACAAACGGATGTAACGTAATGACTTGATGGAAACATGGCCGATTTTTTTTGCAAATATGACGTCAGAGCCTTAGGGAAACATAAAAAAGTCTACAAAAGTCAAAATAGAAAGAGGTCACAAGATCAGAAAAAAAAGTCACTTGGTTACCGGATTTGACGTTATAGCCTAAAAAAAAAAATCATGGATGGTGAGATGCTAGCCGAAAACACACGCAGAGATATTAAGAACAAAATTACGATATATCTAGACTAAGATTGTGGCAAAACTATGCTGGGCGATTTACCTTCTCTGGAGAGCTTCTCATGGACCCGCTGTGAACGTGTCTTGCCTCCCCGTGAGCCAGGCCCGGTGCGAGGCTGGACGTTCTCCCCGATCAGTGTTCCCATACCTAACGGTGTGTTGAAGAAGTAAAATTAAACATAATCACATAATTCACTGCGGTAAATCACGCAGGATAAACATTCATCAACAAAATTCTAAAGTCGACAAAATACATCCCAAGTATACGTCTCTTCCTGTTAGGGTAAATAAAGTTAGCAGAGAACCCAGCTGGTGTCTCACAGGAGGGGTGTGTAAAACAAGAGATCCAGGTGACATATTGTGAGGCGTATCTCTAGCGAGTTAGGATTCGTACCTTTGTTGATTAAATAAAGTCGTGATAAAAACCTATTACCCCTAATAAATCGACCAGCATCCTTGTGGGTTAACCACCAGACCACAAAATTAATGTTAAGTGATATTAAATGTCGATAATGCTTCCTATGAATCTATGATAATACTATAATTATACTCAGTACCTGGCAGACCTTTCCAGCACCTCTACTGTGGGATCTCCTGTCACAGTAATGGTGGTGTGACTTTTTCTAACCCTGGGGTACTCCTCAAGTTAGACAAGACCCGGCCATAAGCCCCCCATACAGTTCCAAGTGGTGGTGGCCGACCAGTTAAGTGAGCTCTACAAGTGGGTACTAGCCTAAATCAGAGTGTACTGATGTATATAAGTGGATGCTAGCCTAAATCAGAGGGTACTGATGTATATAAGTGAGTACTAGCCTAAATCAGAGGGTACTGGTGTATATAAGCGGGTACTAGCCTAAATCAAAGGGTACTGGTGTGTATAAGTGGGTACTAGCCTAAATCAGAGGGTACCGGTGTGTATAAGTGGGTACTAGCCTAAATCAGAGGGTACTGGTGTGTATAAATGGGTACCGACGTAAGCCAGAGAGTACTGGTGTGTATAAGTGGGTACTGACCAGGTGTGCAGGTGGAGGTGGTGAGGGGCAGGTGGGAGCGGGGCAGGGAGCGAGGGATGGTACAGCTGGCCATCGTGGTGTGAGGATATCCCAGTTGTAGACTGCCGCTGCTGCCTCCCACGCTGCTCGGCTCCGCGTACCTGACGGCAAAACACGAGGGGTGAAGTGTAAGGGATGAGAGATACTGGATGATGAGTGAGGGATGATGATTCATTAGTGAGGGGTGAGAGATACTGGACGATGAGTGAGGGATGATGATTCATTAGTGAGGGGTGAGGGATACTGGACGATGAGTGAGGGATGATGATTCATTAGTGAGGGGTGAGAGATACTGGACGATGAGTGAGGGATGATGATTCATTAGTGAGGGGTGAGAGATACTGGACGATGAGTGAGGGATGATGATTCATTAGTGAGGGGTGAGAGATACTGGACGATGAGTGAGGGATGATGATTCATTAGTGAGGGGTGAGAGATACTGGACGATGAGTGAGGATGATGATTCATTAGTGAGGGGTGAGAGATACTGGACGATGAGTGAGGGATGATGATTCATTAGTGAGGGGTGAGAGATACTGGACGATGAGTGAGGAGTAAAGGGCCATTAGTGAGTGGTGAGGTGAAAGTGACCAGAAAAAAAAAGAATACGTCCGCCAACCCAAACAAGATTTTTCACTTTATTTATCATCTCTTAAATCTAAATTAAATACTTCAGGTCTTCATCTTATACACACACACACACACACACACACACACACACACACACACACACACATAAGCACACATTAACGTTTCCTATACAAACATATAGACACTATTGATCTCTCCTATACACACACACACTACCAAGCTGTCCTATACACATACACGCACACACACGCACACACACACACACACACACGCACACACTGTCTTAGACTATACACTATAAACTAATAATCAAAACTCACCTTAACGCATATTCAGGAGAGTAATTATGCATGGTAGGCAGGAGGTGAGAGTGGACGGAGTCTGTGGGCGTGAGGAGGGTGGTGGGCGGGCTGATGGGCTGGTAGGTGCCTAGAGCTCCCACGGCTTCCACGTAGAGCGACTCGTGGGTGTACGGTAGGGTGGAGGGCGGGGGCGGCGAGGGTAGGCTGGTGGCTGGACCTTGGTACGGTGGGGTGTACACTGATGACGTCACTGTCCTGAAAGTGGAGGAGGAGTGTGAGAAGACGGTGGAGGAGGAGGAGGAGGAGGAGGAGTGAGAAGATAAATGATGAAGAGGAGGAGGGGGAGGAGAAAGAGTGAGGAGGTAAGAGGAGGAGGAGGAAGAGGAGTGAGAAGATAAGAGGAAAAGAAGAAGGAAGAGGAAGAGTGAGATAATGGAGAAGGAAGAATAAAAACAAAATAAGAAAGATGGGAAATAAAACGAAATGAAAGTCAAGGAAAAGAAAGACGAAACCAGTGATGAATTTCAGTGTTTAACGAAAGGTAACTGAGAGAGGGAAGAGAATAACTGAATAAGTAAGTGATTAAAAGTCAACACAATACAATGATGAAGACAAACTCAGGACAAGATGGCCTTTATCCCCTTAATGAGGTCAAGGTGCCAGGCAGTGAGAGGACTGAGGTGTAGGGCGGCCATTAGTCAAACTCCTAAAATAGTTAGGTAAATAATTATGCCTAAAATCAACTAAATTTAGGTATAAAGGATAGATATAGTATTTCCGTATCATAATAGGAATACATCTGTACTCAAAACCTACTGAATTTAAGTATTAAGTTAGTACAGTTACAGTGATACTCATGTGGTGATAAAAGTGGTGCCTTAAGAATAAGTACAATGTTAATATAACTCTTATAGTGTGCTTGTATTCGTTATATAATGGAGTGAGAGGTAACACCGCCAGTGCTCTTAAGCTCCTCGTCTGTTGTTAAATCTAAGACTGAGCGATTCAAGTTTTATGAGAAGTTGACTAAAAAAAAAAAGAGTGGCTCCGATAAGTGTATAGCCAAGGTGAAATGATAGTGTTGAAACGAAAAGAAAACTGAAAGATGGAGATTTCTGGGAGAGATGACTGAAAAGGCAAGAAATGGAAGGAAGAGAAAGCGAGGTAATGAATGTCAAGTGGAAACATTGAATAAAGATTGATGGGAGAGGGACAGGAGTGATGAAGGTAATAAATGACTAACATATTTTATGACTTTATCCGGGAAGCATGGGAAAAATCACAAGGAAGTGTTATTACTGACCTTAAGGTGGTGTAGGAGGGCGGGGGGTCGAAGGGGTGTGTCGAGGGTGGGTCTGATGAGAGGGTGGTGAGGGAGTCAGACCCTCGGAACACATCCCCGACTCTACTGAAGGCGCTTTCGATGCTGGGCAGTTTGGCGGCAGTGACAGGCACCAGGTCACTATTGTTCAGGGAGTCGTCACTGCGGAAGAGCTCGGAGGGAGGTAGACCGAGACTCTCAGTGCTGCTCCCGCCAGAGACGTCCATGACACCAGAATCTACCGAGACGTTTCCTGTGGGCGATGGCGGGGCTACAGGGGCAGTTCTAGCTAGTAGTGGATCCCCGCGTGGTCCCCCTGGGCTAAAGTCCACAGGGGCGTCCTGAGGGGCGCTGTTTTTGTAAGGGTACGACACAGATTGGCTCGTGGTGTCCGTCTTGTCAGGGTCTGAGGAGGGGACGACGGGCAGGGTGATGACGCGGCCGTGGTGGCGCAACTGGATCACGTCTCCGCGACCCGGGATGCGAGTAATGTTGCTCTCAGAGTCTGGGAAGAAATGGACCTCGACTGCATTTTCTGGCAGGATCAGACCCCCAGGCACTTTACTCAGAGTATCACCGACTCCGCTGCTGCTGCTGTTGATGCTATTATTGCTATTGGTGCTGCTTCCTCCACTGATACTCTTGCTGCTTTTGTTGCCGGTTGTTCCTATAGTCGACGTTATTACTTTCACTACGGTTCTGTTGCTATTGCTGTTGGTAGTGTTGGCGCGGCTGCTGGTGCTGCTGCTGCTACTACTGGTGGTGGTGGTAGTAGTAGTACTGGTGTTGGAGGAGTTAATGCGACTGGCAGGCCGGTTCTTGAGGGAGGCACCTCGGGCACCTCCTCCTCCACCATCTCCTCCTGACGACAACTTGACGAACTTCTGGAACTTGGGCATGATGACCACGGTGGACTAGAAGAATGGCTGCCTTCACCTCCTGTTGGTACACAAGAACGCGTATGTTTGTATGTTAAACAAACTTAGCCACGGGCATCACACACACACACAAACATATTATGAATAAAGATGAAAGCTAAGGTGCTCCAGTGTTTCCCTTTTCCTGTGTGGTTTTAATGAGATTTATCTTGTGCACGCTTCCATTGTGGATCTACATGAAATATATATATATATATATATATATATATATATATATATATATATATATATATATATATATATATATATATATATATATATATATATATATATATATATATATATATATTTCATGTAAATCCACAATGAAAACGTGGATAAGATAAATCTTGATAAAATTACACGGGAAAATGGAAACAACGGAGTACCTTAGCTTTCGTCTTTATTCAAGACATCTTCAGAGGCAACTGAAGATGTCTTGAATAAAGACGAAAGCTAAGGTACTCCGTTGTTTCCATTTCCCGTGTGATTTTATCAAATTTATCTTATCCACATTTTCATTGTTGGTTACATGAAATATATATATATATATATATATATATATATATATATATATATATATATATATATATATATATATATATATATATATATATATATATATATATATATATATATATATATATGTATATACTGATAACACAAAAGGAAGAAGAAACACACGAGGATTCCCAAAAGCGCTTTCGTGTAATTTCACATCTTCGGGGTGAATTCGAAAGCGCTTAGCACTATAGTCTTCTTTCACTTAATGATTTATCAACATATATACCTAGATCACCTTGCACCTACAATGCTTATATGTATATATATATATATATATATATATATATATATATATATATATATATATATATATATATATATATATATATATATATTTTTATTTATTTATTTTTTTTTCCTGGCGCTCCATGGAGATATTTATTTTGACGTACTGTACAGGCAGGCACAGGTATATCATTACGGATATTGATCTACAGGAGTTTTAGGCAGGTGCAGTTATCTTTCTTATGTCACACCACAAACAGTTGTTCGTGTTACACAGGTGTCCTTATCGAGTAAATGCCATAATTGTATGTGAAATGATAATATATTTAACTTATGTATAGTATTTGTCATAAACACGTGTCATAATTCATAACAATGTGTCATAGTCATAGTACCACTCACACAGAACATAAGAACATAAGAATGGAGGAAACTGCAGCGGGCCTATTGGCCCATACTGGGCAGTCCCGTTTACACCCAACCCCTATTGCTCATATAAGCATCCAACCTATGTTTGAAGCTATCCATCGTATTCGAGTTAATGATATTTGGAAACTTGTTCCATTCATCCACTACTCTGTTTCCAAACCAGTGTTTACCTATTTCACGCCTAAATCTAAATTTGTCTAATTTAAAACCATTGTTACGAGTTCGCTCCTGGCTGGATAGTGTGAGTACCTTTGTAATGGCCCCTTTGTTTAGCCCTGACTTCCACTTATACACTTCTATCAGGTCGCCCCTCGCTCTACGTCTCTCGAGGAAGTGCAAATTAAGATGCTTTAACCTGTCTCTATACTCAAGGTTCCTAATGCCCGGGATTAGTCTTGTCATTCGCCTCTGAATTCTTTCCAAGGATTCTATATCCATTCTGTAATACGGTGACCAGAACTGAACTGCGTAATCCAGGTGTGGTCTCACAAGTGCAAGATACAGTTTTAGGATGACCTCGCTAGTCTTGTAGCTAACACTCCTTTATATGAACCCAAGTACTTTATTAGCCTTGTTACGAGCAAAAACACATTGTTTACTTGGTTTAAGGTTCCTAATTATCATTACTCCTAAATCTCTCTCGCAGTCGGATTTCTCTATGGCATCGTTGTTCATCTGGTATCTGGTTTCCCTGTTTACATCTCCTATACTGAGTACTTTACATTTGTCCACGTTGAATTTCATCTGCCATATTTCAGACCATTCGAAAAATTTGTTTAGATCTTCCTGTAGTTTTGCCGAGTCCTCGTCAGATTTAATAACATGTCCTATTTTAGTGTCATCAGCAAATTTACTTATGTTGCTGTCTATGCCGATATCTATGTCGTTTATGTATATAATAAATAATAATGGTCCAAGTATTGAGCCTTGGGGAACTCCACTAGTGACGTTGCTCCAATGGGACTTAGTGCCGTTAATGCTCACTCGCTGTTTCCTGTCCTGTAACCACGCCCTAATCCATTTAAGGATATTACCTTTGATGCCATGTGCTTGTACCTTACTAATTAGTCTTTCGTGGGGGGACTCTGTCGAAGGCTTTGCTAAAGTCGAGATATACCACATCATAATTGTGCCCCTCGTCCACCGATTCGAAAACTGATGAAAAGAATGTGAATAGATTAGTTAGACATGAATCCTCTTGTGAAGCCATGCTGGGAATCATTGATCAATCAGTGCTTTTTCAGGTGATTTCGAATAGAGTTTGAAATGATTGCTTCCAGTAATTTGCCTACTATTGATGTTAGACTGATTGGGCGGTAGTTAGAGGATAGTGATCTATCCCCCTTCTTGAAAATCGGTATTACATTCGCTATCCTCCAGGATTCTGGTACTACACCTGTTTTTAAGGACATGTTAAACAACTTTGCTAAGGGCATACTAAGCTCTTCCTTACATTCCTTTAATACTGTACTCTGGCAAATATCTTATTGGGACCAGGTGACTTATTAGGCTTTAGTTTGTCTATTTGCTTACTAACATCGTTACTAGTCACTACTATCTCGCTTAATTTGTTTTCTTCACTATCTCTGAATAGAGTCGGTGCCTCGGGCATCATGTTTAAATTTTCGGTGGTGAAAACTGTTGAAAAATATTTATACAAATTATTGCTCATTTCTCCGTCGTTATCAGTGAGCTCGCAGGTATCTGACCATATTGGTCCAATCTTTTCTCGTGTTTTAGTTTGATACATTTGGTAGAATCCTTTGGGGTTTGTCTTCACCTCTCTTGCTATCCTTACCTCATTATTCCTCTTGGCTTTCCTTATCTCGGTTTTAACCCTACTCGCCAATACCTTATAATAATCCTGGAGGTAAATTTCGCCACGATTTATCCTTCTACCTATAGCCTTCCTTTGGCCAATGATGTTCTTTAAATAATTATTTACCCATTTAGGGTCATTGTTGTCTGATCTGAATTTTTTGTATGGGATGTTCTGCCTTTGTGCATTAAGTAACTCATTATTTAAATTGTCGTGGAACTTGGCAATCTCAGATCTCGTTATCAGGTTGGTGTCATCTGTCAGGTTCACGGCCAAGAGTGACACCCCCTCTCTCAGCTGCCTCTTTAAACTGTCAAAGTTTGCCCTTCTGAAATCTGGTACTTTAGTGGAATTTTCCTTAAGTCTGCCCTGAAAATCTAACTGGAATCTAATTTCTTTGTGATCTCTGTTTGCAAGTTCGTTCCCTACCTCGACATTGCTAATGAGGTTTTCTCTGTTCGACAGAACTAAATCGAGTATATTATTACCCTGGGTGGGTTCGGTTATATATTGACTTAGGAAACAGTCCTGGATCGTCTCGAGAAAATCCTCTGATTCTGAGTTACCCGTAAGTCAGTCGAATCTATTTGGCCAAGGTTAAAGTCACCTACTATACAGACTTTGTTGTGTATGGAAGCCCTGCGCATTTCATCCCAGATAAGTCTCTCATTGACTCTATCAAGATTGGGAGGTCTATATATTACTCCTGTGATTAATTTTTCCCAACCATCGATTAATTCTATCCAAATTATTTCTGTATTCCGCTCAGTTTTTATTTCCTTATTTATTTCACACTTCATATTATCCCTGACATAGATTGCTACTCCGCCTCCTTTCCTGGTCTGCCTACGGTATGGAACAATTTGTAACCCGCAATTTGGTATTCGACCGGTAACTCACGTGTGTCTAGGTTGATCCATGTTTCAGTGAATGCTATTATATCGATTATTTCGGTACATACCAAGGCCCTAATATCACCCATTTTGTTTCTCATACTTCTACTGTTCGCGTAGTAGACATTTAAGTTAGTTGTGTTCTGAGTCCTCCCTTTACCGCGTTTAGTTTTAAGCTCCCTGTCTAATTTAGTTTTGTCATCATTCCAAACACTATTTCCCTGTAATCTTTCACTTTGTTTACCCGCTCCCACTGCAGTCACCTCCACCCCCGTGCCCATATGTTCCCCTAGCAGTTTAAAGACTTCGGTATCTTTTGAACTGCCCCCTCTAGAGACTCAGGCAGGGTTGCCACCCCATCCCTAGACAGATGCACCACATCTCTAGCATAAAGGTCCCTTCTGCCGTAGAAGTTGTCCCAGTTGTCAATGAATGGGACTGATATTGACTTGCAATATCTGTCAAGACGGTCGTTGACACCAACTGCCCTTGACAACCATTCGCTGCCAACTCTCCTTCTAGGCAGGACACCGCATATGATAGGGATCCCTCCCTTAGTCCTAATACGATCTATAGCTGCCTTGAACTTATCAAGAAGGTCCTCGCTCCTACACCGGCCAATATCATTGCCTCCTGCACTGAGGCAGATAATGGGTTTGTTCCCATTACCAGACAAGATATTGTCCATTCTGTCAATTATATCCCCCACCCCAGCTCCTGGTAAACACACCCTCATCCTATTTTTGTTTTTACCACAAAAAGCCCTGTCCAAGTACCTTACCTGTGAGTCACCAACAATTAAAGTGTCATAATAGTTCAGATGTCATAATTAGGCAAATATGCAGGAACAATAATTAAACGTATCATAACTAAATATATATCATCATTACACAGGTATTATAATAACACAAGTGTCATAATTAGGTAAATGCGTACGGTAGGTGTTATAGTAGTACTGGTGTCATAATTACGGAGGTGTCGCAGTCACAAAGGTATTATAATTACAGAGGTGTGATATAATTTTACAAAATAAAGTACACATATATCAACCAAGGTGATAATGGGTCCAACAGATAGTGTAGCAACAGTCAA